TGCTACTTCACCCCCCTAATATTTTTCTTTAGTGGATGCAGCAGTATTTTGCCAGTGGTTTCAGCTATGGTGTATTTTGCAGTCTGTATTTTTTAAAACATACTTGTCTGGAGAAAATACAGTAGACTTCAAAATAGGTAGCCAGAAAAACAGGGAGCAGGTGACGAGAAAAAAAACTCTTCCAAAAGATCTGCCTGAAGACAGACAGGAAGGCAAACAAAGGGTCTGAAAACCTGTATCTTGGGACTCCTGCTTTCTTGCCTCTGAGTTGGGGTTTGAGACCTAAATTTCCTAATTCTCCTGAAGCTTTTTAGTACCCAGGAACCATTTCACTGAAATGCAGTCTGAGCCAAACCATTCTGCTGGCTCTAACACCCTGCTCTGAGCTTTCTATTGCCCTTGGAATATCTCAGTCAGCAATTAATTTGAATTATAAGTGAAAGTTCTCCAAGTAACATTTTGTTTCAAAAAGAACAGACCTTGATCTTTTAAAAACTAAAACACCAACAGAAACACTTGAAGTCTCCTTTCCTCTATGCAGAAATAAATTACATAGTTTTTATCAAGAGTTAGGATAACTAGGTAGATTGTAACTGCAAAAGTTTGTAGAAGTAGGGAGAACTGAGGTTTTTCTGCATTTATCAACGATTTGCGGTTTGTAAGAACACAAAAAAAACCCCTCTTGTGGGTGAGCAAAGGGCCAACTCGGTTCCACGTATCTTCTTTAAAGTGTAAGAATCAATGGGAAACAAGTGACTCTTAGGAAAGTTACTCTAGCTTAAACATCTCCTTTTGCCAAATGCCTTGCTCCTGTCACCCATGTTCTCGTGTTTAAGTTTCTACAACCTTTGTGCTGGTTACTCTCCCTGCTTCATGGATCCAGCTGACCCAATTTGACAACAGGAACAATCACCATTACTAAGGGAACAAGATGTATGAAGTGCACAGACCAACTAAGAACGCCAACAGGGCAAAAGACAAGACACCGTACCTGCAGGAGCCCTAACCATGCCATCTCTCAGCCAGTGGGATAATTCTCGGGGCTACCAGGCTACTTTCTGTACCCAACCTGCAAACTAAAAGCTTGACACGAACTTGACCTCATAGGTTGTTTCCTAGAAAGCTACTGCTACTATTTTCTCTTTCCTGACAAGGTGTTAACATGGGATGTTGGCAAAATTACCCCTCAAAAGCTACCAAACCTGAAGGGTATAGTGAACCTGCAGTCTGGAGCCCCTAAGCCAGAGGAGAATCCGAGTTTAAACATCCAGTTTAAGATACAACAGCTTGCAATTTCAGGTGAGTGGGTAGGTGTTATATGAAATTGGTACTGATGGAATGAGTAGCAGTAGGAAATGAAGTGGGAAACCGTTAATCTTTTAATTGGAGCTGCTGATCTGAAGCCCGCTTGGTCCAAAACGATTCACCCAAACCTGACAGTTACCCTTGCTGGGAATTCTGAGTTCCCAATTGTTTTGCTCAAGAAAGACTGTGAAGAGTGTACAGAAGCATGGATATTTCTCTGTTGACTTGTGCATTAAACATGCAAATTTATCCTTTTAGTGAAGAGTGGTGGATGATGATTTAACATGCTGCTCTTGGCTTGCTTTAGCCTTGTACCACTAAAGCCCTTTCTACTGGTCAAAAAACTCCATTATTTTAAAGAATGCCCTTCTTATTCTTTCCTTCTGGGGCTGGTTAGTTTTTCATCTTCAAAACAATCTGCGGGTAAAATCAGAATGAAGTCTATAGGGTAAGTGCAAAAGTAAATTTAAAGCAAACAAGGCTTCAGTCTGCAAACACAAATCATGTGAGTTGTCCATGTGTAAAATGCTTCTGCAAGCAAGCTGTGCAGGATTAAGACCCTACCAGAGCAAAGACTTACTTTTGGGAAGAAGGAGGATGGCTGAAGTCAGTAGATGAGAATGGGTGGTAGTACGAGAAGTACCTTTCTAGGTAGGTGCCGGGCTATGGTCCTTTTGCTTCCTAGATGACTTTGCTAAGTAAATAAAGTTAGTCTTTGTGTGAGGACAGAATCCTGCAGTTTCCTCTTAAACTTGCAACCTGCTAGTTTAAATATAGCAAAACACAGAGGATCCAATGGGTGGGTGCCAGAGATAGTGGACCTGTGAGAAAGCAGGGGACAACCTGAAAGTGTTCGGTAATTAATAGCTACTGGCGTTCCTCAGGTAATAGCAGAGGGATTGCTGGTCCTTGCAATTATGATATAGAGTGAAAAGAATTCTAAAACTTCTCCTTTGCTGCATCTGCATTATTGGAAATGAGCGCAGCGTACAGGAGCTGTGGAAGACACTCATTTGTTCAATAGTTCATCCCTTGGAAGGAGAATGTTGGCTCACTGAGCAGAACAGAAAGTTGTTGCCCTGCCAGGGCACCTCTGTTGAGGTGACAAGAATGGTCTCTTCTGCTGTTTCAAACCAGATGAACTTGTGAAAGGAAGGCAAATTAGCTTCCTAACCAATCTTAACACGCTTCAAGAAAGCAGGACTTTTAAACAGACTGACATGATTTCTAGCATTCTGCTTTTAACTTTGTACTTGTTTTCGTCTTTTTCAGGACTGAAAGTGAATCGCCTGGACATGTATGGAGAAAAATACAAGCCTTTTAAAGGTGTCAAATATATTACAAAAGCAGGAAAATTCCAAGTCAGGACATGAGAAGATACTCTACTTCCAGGAGGGCATTCCCCTTAAAAAAAACTTGACTGCTTAGTGACTTATGTTGCTATTAATTAGGTGCCAATTAATTAATAGACACTGATTAATTTGGGATCAAAGCGTTTGTGCACAGCAGCTCTTAAAATGAAAGCATAGCTTAAGTTTTTCTTAATATGGCTTTAAAATAAGGTACTTTTTTTCTAATACACCTTCACTCTTTTTTTACTGAATTGTTGTGCTGGTGAATAGTTTGATGTAGGTGATCCACAAAACGTCGCAAACACTACACTGCCAGTCAGATACCAAAGCCCAGAGGCCAAGCACATTATGAAGGCCAGACAGGCCACCGAAAATGTCTTATGGTGGCACGGTTTGCTGCTGCAGCCACCTGCAAAGGAAGCTCAGCTATTCTCAGAGCCAGCTGCAAGCTGGCATTCCACAAAGCATCACATAATCCCTTCATAAAGAGAGAGCAGCAGTGAGAGGGGGCAGGGGTCCCACAGGGGCCTGGGACATCGCAACTGTCACTCCTGAGAAGGAGCTTCTGATGAAGAAAAAAATTATTTCCTTGTTGTTTACAAGAAATCGCCTTTCTTAAGAAGCATTTGCCTTAATCAGCTTTCATTTGTGCCATCTGCAGATGAGCTGATGAAAATAGCATTCTGCATTAAATCTGGGAGGTGATTGTTGCTTCAGTAATCCACTTTCTTTCCATTCAATCTCATCATCACCATCTTTTTTTTTTTTAAGAATACAGTTGCAGAGAGTAAGTATATTTTAAGCGAGGCCTTTGCTTTGATTTAGATGTTCCACTTGTTGGAAGATGCCACCAGATCTGTGCCATGTGTACATTGGAGCGTAGCTTTTTAGATAGCACAATAGAAGTGTCAAGTGTATTTAATGGTTGTGTGCTTTAATGTTATGAAATAAAGGGAACTCTACTGCAAATACATACTCTCTTGTGAAACATTTGCGCTATTGTAAACTATGTCTCCTGCCCAAGAGCATCATGAATCTGATATACAATTAAACAATAACTATCTGCTACATCTTTACTGAACTTGATCACTGTGCAGCTATTTAAAGTTTAGAAAGGGCATTTAGGAGCATAGCAGGTAAGCTCCCTTTCATATTTTTTCTTTTTAAATGGAGAACAATTAATGTTTAGATTATGACATTTCAGAGACACAACAGTGGTGATGCACAGTGGACTAAACTTTTCCTTACACACCAGCACAAACTTGTTTTCTCTGTAAACCAATACATGCTCCACAGTACCTGTCAGGTTTCAAACCACATGCTTGGGTCAGTACATAGTAGGCTGAAAGCCCAAGTTGAGAATTCAGGAAGGGTGGGATGCTGGAGAATCTTTGTTTCCCTAACCTGTAAATGACTTACAAATTGATGAATAGGTGCTAACTTTAGTTCCTATTCTTCATCTGAAGCAAAGTAATTCAGTAGTCAAAATTTCAAATACTGCGACAAAAAAAATGATCCAGTTTGAAAAAAGGAGGAACCCACCTGAACGCTGGCAGCAAGCCAGTAAGAAGAGAAATGAGCATATATTCTCTGTCAGTAACTTTGGTAATATCGCTAGGGTAAACTTGGCCACAGACAACCATTTTGAAATTCCAAAATTACAGTAGGTTAGTGTGGATAAACAGCACTTAAGAACCAGCACCTCTAAGAAAGCCTTGCCTTTGTGTAGACACAATACTAAATATTAAAAGCTACCAACCTTCTAGTCTACCTTTTCAGCTGGAAAAACATCCATCAATTCATTACTTGTCCTACAGTTCTGCTCCATGTTTCAGCAAATGGCATCCTTCAGTTACAGTAATTTTACTAGAAGTCTTGTCTTCAGATCTAATTTACAACATCCCAAGCTTAAGTCTGAGTAGCTAGAGCTGCTCTCTGCATTAGCAGCCTGGAAATGCCACAAGATCTCCTTTCAGAACTGACACCATTACTGATACAGAACATCACGTAATACCAAAACTGGCTCGCCCTAACGCCAGCACTTGCCTTCAGCACGTGACAGAAGCAGCCTTGCCAGCCTTCTGTAACTCGGGCACCAGGGAAGCGTGCACAAATCTTCTCTGAAAAAGCTTTGGTCCGTACTTCACAGCACGCCACCAGCAGTCATTGTAAACAAGAATTACACTCACCTGGTAGGAAACCACCCTGAGGCATAAAGATGGTTTTCAACAGAGTATGGTGTTTGCTGTGGGAGGGTTACACCTTTTGCTGTAGATCTGCTGGCTCCTGCCATTTCTCCAAACACCGGAAACTCAACTGCAGAATCTGCAGGAGGGGGGAGACAACTGTTTATATTATCCCTGTTAAAAAAAAAAAAAAATGCCACCAGCACCTGTATGAATAGTACAGCTTAAGAAATCGGAGGATGTCATTATTGAGGAATTAGTAATGCCAGCTTTTGATCTCCCCTTCTCTAGGTGTCCAGCTCTAGGAGTGCTGACAAAGGTGATTGCCTTTTGGGTTCTTGTCCTCTCTCAGATATGGAGAGAACTGTGTGAACAGTATGAAATGTGAATTTTACCTATTATTACTAAATCCCAGATACCTTCCAGCACTGTGGGACTACATTTGTTCCTACAGCATCAATAAATGTTGGTTCCACAAAGTCAGAACATAACATGTGCTGGTAGAAATTTTTAGTGAGAAAAAGTGTTTATAACAGGTTCTTACTGTGAAGGAGTGAAGGAAACAGGACATTGATGCCACTCTAATCACCCTTGTATTCAATTTGAGGCAAAATTCAGATTAATGAGGTGTTGGCCAGAGTAGCAGCTCTTCCCTTACTGACAGGACCAGGCAAATCCACTTAGAGTTTTCAGAAGCTTGTTCAGTGCTACTAGAGCAGATGACTATCGGGCCCTTGGAAAAACTCCTGTTTTCTCCCACCAGACCACAGCTTCTAGTAGGTTCTTTAATTACTAGTTTTACAGGCACAAAAGACACAAACAACTTGTCTTAATCTTCTCCTATTTGAGAAACTTTGCACTTTTTCTGTTCAGAATATGTAGAAACAACTGTTCGTTTGCATTAGCATTTCTGCTGCTTTAGCTTTTTGCTTTTCTTGTTGTTATGGTGTTACCCACTGCTCCGTTATCATTAATACTCACAAGCTGACATTTGTACAAATGTATTTTTATTGTTTTAACAGAACCAAAGAAAGGTTGAAAACATTAGACTATACATTTTGGTTTATAAACAAAGTTTTATAGTGGTAAAACATTTCTAAGTGACATTCATGGTCTTTTTCAAATTTTTGCTGCATTTCAGGTCTGAAGACCAATAGTGTTCAAAAAAGCAGTAATTGCATAAGGTGGACAAGTATCTTAGCTTCTACAAAACAGTTCAAGAACTTAGAGCAAACATTCTAGAAGAATATCAAAGGCAACCATGATTCATAACTTTCCTGCAAACATTCCTCAATAAACAAAAAGTGATCTTTGGCATAAACAATTATGTATTAAAGGCATTAGTAATATTGCATTAATATCAGTCAAGCAACTAAACAGTGAAGCTAAAAGAAAAAAATAGTCTCACAGAGAAGCCTGAATTGGGGGGCGGAAGTGTGAAGGGCACTGAAAAGTAATACAGGAAGACTATTTAGAAAATCCCTTAAAAATAATCCTTATCTATTCAGTGTTATTTACTATTAAATAGAAATTACTACATTACAATTATGTTAAAGATCTGATATAAACCAACCAAATGCAAGACATTCAGGTTAAGGCTCTGGCACCCCTTCCTTCCTCTTCCTGTTGCAGGTAATTGCAGGAAGAGAATACTAAGGAAAGATCCCAAGTACTACATTATTTCATAATAGCCAGACACAAGGAGTGAATTAAAGATGAACACATGCTTTCTCTTGCTAAGGTCAGTTTGAGGCAGATGCATTAGAATCAGTTTAACTTCCCTTTTTAGGTAACAGTGCAACGAAGGGTGGGGTGGAGGGGAGAAAGTCCGAGTGTAGAATAACTGTTGCAGATGGGTAAAGGACAGCTGACTCTGTTGTGTGGCTCCTCCTTGGAGCTGTTAAGACTGAGCAGTTTTTCCCCAAGGGCACTTCTGTTCAAGATCATGCAACAATTTTCAGCAAATTAAGAGGGCATCATGAGGTCAGTGCTGATCTGGGCAGAAGTCTGCAAGTATTCCTTGCACATGGTACGCAGACTCTTTCTAAAACAATAATTCTCCTTTCTGTTAAATGCCAAAAGAGACTCTGGAGCAATTAAATGAACGTGTATATATATACACACACACATATATGAAGGCACGTTCAATTATGGAAGGATAAAATCATCCCAAGTCTATTTTCACAATAGAGGGGGAGACTTTGTGGGTTGGGGTTTTGTTTGTGTTTTTTTTAAGATACAGTAACATTTCGTTTAATTCACTAGTGCTAGAACTTGAAAAAAGATTTTGAGCCTCCAAACTCCAAGTGTCAAAAACTGTAAAAAAATCTTAGTACGTTTAGCATTAGGAACCACTGCTTGCTGGTAGCCATCAGACTACCTAAAAAAGGGTTTCATCTCCCTGCGGCACTTGGGTTTCAAAAAGCTTATGCCTTGTTGGAAACAAGGGCAATGAGGCAAAAGGTCTTAATTTTAATTGAGTATCTTTATCTTTTAATTTCCACCTTGAGTGGCTGGAATCACATTAGATGGAGGGAAGAAGAAAAAAGAATAATTGCATGTGCTTATTTGGTTTTCAAAAGGGAAGAGCCAGCATGTGGCATTTTCTGGTCCTGGACATGCAGCTAGCTTAAGAGAACCAGGATTTTTGAGCTCAATACATTACTGAATTGAGCAAGGAGGAAAGAATTCCATGATTTAAGGTCTCCAGCCATAAGGCCCAAGCTGTCAACAGTGTGCTGCTAACATCCACTGCAAAGCATTTCAGTACAGTTCAAGAGTTCTGGAATGCCTACCTACAGGGTGACAGGAAGGTGACAAAGACAGCTCGTTTTTGTTAAAGTACTGTTGCCAGGCAAAAATCAAAAGCGAAAAAATAGAATTTCAGACATGGAATTTTAATCCTCAGTTTACAACTGTTCTGCTGCCCCTCCTCCTCCCTTTTAATTAAAACCCCACACCTTCCATCATTTCTGCATGGTTTAAGAACAGCCAGCTAAAATCCTGTTCAAAAGTTGAATGTTTCTATATCCATGATTGTCCCTAAAAAACTGCCAAGTAACCAATAGTGTCCCAGACTCTCAACACAAGCTTAAAGTGAGGTCCATGTTTTATATCATCACGTGGAAACTACTGGAATATACAGTGCGTAAATGAAATGTGCTTCTGGGAGTACAGAATTCATGAAGAGAATCTTCCAAAGCAAAAAAAAAAAAAAAAGAGATAAGAACTGTCTACTGTTGGAAGCAATTTTCAGGTGCTGGATATCAAATGTGTTCCGAAGACATTTGAAATGCATTCTCTTGTAACTCATACCCTTAGAATGGGGCATTAGCATGAGCTAATGTTAAGCTCATTTATACAGCACCTTTGCTGTTAATATCTCTCTTCTGTTTCAAAATAAAAAAAAAGGGCAATTTATGTTACAGAAAACAATACTTCTGTGGCAAGTGTTTACTGATACCATGGGGTCTTTCTGACCCAGCGAAGAGTGAATCCAGCATCTGTTCTTATCTTAATGGATGCTGCTTCAGCTTCTCTCACAGTTTCCTTCACAGACTGCATGAGATTCTGCGCATTATGAACCAACATCTCAGTTGCCTGTCAAGAAAAAGAAAAAGGAGTATAGCACAGAAACCCATTGTGCACGAGGACCCCCAGTACAAGCATCTTAAGGCAGTTTATTGCCGACTTAAACTATGAAAAAGTAAATGAGACAACTAGCCTCTGGAAACCAGCAAGTGTTAGCCTGACTCAAGCCAAGACTTTCACATTTCTCACTGTATATTTGCACAAAATCTGAATAAAAGTTTAATGCCTCAAAGTAGAATGATCTCTCTCAGAAGCCAAAACTGCAGGATTTCAACTGAAAACATGCATTTGGAAGCTAACAGGGACAAGTACTCAAGATGTTGTTGGAGAATAAATATTTTCCCT